AGGGGAAGGCCATGTCACAGGTCCCAGGTGAGTCCCTGGGGTGCACCTCATCACGTGAGGGTCCTTGGCTTCATTTAGGAAAAATTCAAGAGTGAGCCATAGTTGAGTAAAAGTTGATTTATTCAGAGAGATGCACACTCCATAGACGGAGTGCACGATGTCTTAGAAGGTAAGAGGAAAACCACAAGGTAAGGGGTTGTTAGTCTTTATGGGCTCGGTAACCCCATACGCTAACAGGGGCTCTCCCTGACGGGCACTGTTTGGAGCTGAGAAACATCCGAAGCTACGCCCCACATTCAGTGTCGCTCGGGGGTGAGGGGATTCTCTCTCAGGAGCCTGGCCGCTGTGGAGGCCTCCACCTGGGAGTGGAAGTGGGATTTTAGGGCTACACCTCATCTGAGCTTCTGTCTGTGGGACCATGTTTCGTGTGTGTGGCCTCACCTGGGGCCGAGCACTAGTTGGGGTTTTTCCCTTTCTAGCCTTGGTCTTTCATCCCTTTATCTGACAAGGCACTGGCTGGGAGTCTCCCCTTTGGGCCAGGGAACTGTGACCCTGAGAGGCTGTTTTGAATTATGGTTTGCTTGGTATTTGGTAACATCGGCCGTGAATAATTAAGTGCGGATGACCAGAGCTCTGTTCCATTTTATGGTCTCCCTAAGGTATATTTTGCAAAACTGGGAGATCTTCAGCTATGCTCCCATAAATGAATGAAAATGGTATTTTATTTTATAGTAACTGTAATTGAAGTATAGTTGGTTTACAATATATCAGTTTCTGACATGCAGCATAATGTTTCAGTCATACATATATGTGCATATATTCCTTTTAATATTTTTCACTATAGGTTACTACAGGGTATTGAATATAGTTCCCTGTGCCGTACAGTAGGACCTTGTTGTTTATCTATTTCATATATAGTAGTTAGTATCTGCAAATCCCAAACTCCCAATTTATCCCTCCACCTTTCCCTTTTCCCCCTGGTAACCACAAGTTTGTTTTCTATGGCTGAGCCTGTTTCTGTTTCGTAAGTAAGTTCACTTGTCTCAAAAGATTCCACATATAAGTGATATCATATGGTATTTTTCTCTTTCTGCCTTACTTGACTTACAGTGATGATCTCCAGATCCATCTATGTTGCTGCAAATGGCATTATGCCATTCTTTTTTATGGGTGAGTAGTTGTGTGTGCACGTGCGCGTGTGTGTGTATACCACAACTTTTTTATCCAGTCAGAAAACTTTTGTAACACTGTGTGGCCTCAGGCCTCCCTGAGATCTGGAGAATGGTCCCTAATGGCTCTGCTGTTACACCAAAGTGGGCCTTCTGCAGTTGCTCAGGATTTTGGGGGTGTGTGTGTAAGTGTCGTGGTACCTGAGGCCACACCCTGTTCTCTCTTCCTGGTTTTGCTGAAACTGAGGCATGTGAATCTGAGAAAATGGTGTGTTACTATGTATTACTATTATTTCTTTAAACTGAAGGGGATATTTGGAAACTGGAAAAAAAAAAACCCAAAGTAGCCAAGATGATTAGGTTTTATAAAAGGGGAGCATTTAGCTTCCTGTGCCTTTGAGATGTATATGGTCTACCTGGGCTCTCAGGGGAAAGATAAAAAAAGAGGCTGTTTTAACTCAAGTGAAAAAACTGTGAGATCTCTGCTTCTGTCTTTATGTAAGAAATTAACTTGTAAATGAGCTCTATTTGACTTAAAAGTAAGTGCTTACAAATTAAACACTTCTAAGTATACAGACAGAACAGATTCCAGGTTCGCTAGCTTAAGCTCCTTGGTATAATCAATACAGATGTGGCTTTTATTGTACCTAAGTTTACCGAAGTCAGTGAGTTCATGTTGTTTCTGTTGCAGAGTCTGTCAGCAGAAAGAGAAAAAAGGTAACTTGGTGATGAAATTCTTACAAGTGAGCTTAAATGAGATCAGAGCTTACTGGGTGAACTCTTCAGAAATAACTGGTTTAGGCCTGTTCACTTAAAAATGATCTCAAGATAGTCTGTGACTTAAAACTTTAGAGTTGTGCTAAGTTAAAGTAAATGATGGCAGTTTGTTGAACAGCTGAAAAGCTAGGTCATTCCCAAAGATACTGAAATATTCACTACATGTAAGATTTTTAAGAATTAAGGATTATAATTTAAATATTAATTGAAGCTATTAAAAATAATGAAAACATTTCAGTATGCAGTAGGAAAGTAGGATATATGTTCTGAGTAAGAAAAGATCTGAGGAATGGAATTGCATTTTGTTAAGGGAAAGGGGAGTGGTCTGGTCCCAGAGCTGGTTATTTCTAGATGGGGAAAAAAATAAAGAACTACTGCGGATACAGAAAGTTGTGGAAAGTTTGTAGAAAGGGAGCCCTAACAAAGGAGTTCTGTGCTGAGATTAAACTTAATTAGGTAAATGATTTTGTTATTAAAAGTGGGCTGGTACAGGACTAGAGCTGGTGCCTCTCTGTTAAAGAGAACGTTTACTTCTGATAACAGGCTGTGTGAACATTTTTGATATTTTTGACAAACTATCAAATTCTAATTAAATTTATTTTGACTTCAGCTGACTTTGGGGTGCTTCAGAAGGCCCCTGAGACATCTCAGAGAAAAATATTATAGTATCTAGGACTGGCTGGTATGCTGAATTACACAGGGAGCACTGTCAACCAAATCATAAGCCCCCTTGGATTATACAGTTCAGACAAGTGTTAGTATGGACACTCTAGAAATCATACAAAGTTTCTGAAATTCAGAGATGTTCTGGTAAAATGCTATTAGTCATACTTCCACGTATCTTAAAATGTTGTGGGTCACAGCAACTTGAGGACTTTTTTTTGTCAAAAACATTATAATTAGATCTTTTACCTTTGCCTGTTTGGGTCTTTTATCATTTATAGACAGTTAAACTAATGCTCTGCAGAACTGCTTCAAGAAGATTCATCAAAAGGACTTTTGGACAAGTATGGGTTTCTTTGAAATCATACTGCTGAGCTCAGTAAGATATTTAGGAAGTCTAATGAAAATTCTGATTTCATGAAACTGTTAGTAAAAGGGATTGACTGCATAGGATTGAGTGAACTGATGAATAATTACAATTTTTTTGGTTGTTTGAAGTATTACTGGCTTTTAATCTGTTTTCTAATTGAACTGTTTATCAAACGTTTGTCTCCCTATTAATGTTGCTCCAGTGTTTAGGATAGAAAAAGAATTCTCTAATGGAGCTGTCACAGAGTATAACTAACTACTCATGACGTGTAACAATGCTGTTTAAGTCTGCTTGTGTAACAGCTGGCGTAAGTGATGAAGTGTATGGGCTGTAAAGTGCTTCCCTGTTAACATACCTCTGAGCCTGTTCACCATATCTGATCAGTTCCCCCAACGTGACTGACTAGGCAAATATAAAGGAGGCCTAGCACCGAGGGACATGCTCTAAGCCTGGGACAGAAGCCACCACGTCAGCATCCAGGGACAGGTAATTCGATCATCAGTGCTTTCTACTGAAAGATCTGTAATCCAAGGGGGAAACATGGAAAAACCTGCATATACTGAGCCCCTTCACCCCACCCCCATGGCCATCATCCTCTGGCTTAGACCATCACGCAGCCTCCTCGCCTTTACTGCCACCCTCCCCAGCCCACCTCCATCCAGCAGCCACGGGACCTCCAAGCTGCAGCCCCCCGAGGCCCTTTCCTGCCTTGGGCTCTCTGTGCTCAGAACCCTTCTGTAGCCTCCTCTTCTGCGTCTTGTATCCCGAGCTGTGCTGTGTTGGCTTCACCCATTTTTTCTTTCCCCTGTCTCAGGGCCTTTGCACTGGCTTTCCTCAGCCTAGAATTCCTTCCTCAAATTGGAGTGTAACTGTGTGTTCATATATGGCCTCACTCACAATGCCATCTGTTTGGAGAGACCGTTCCCGGCCACTTCCCTAAGTAGCATCACCCCTTCTCCTCTCTCACACCCATTTTATTGCCTCCGGATTTATTTATCATTTTTGGAAATTGTATCACTTTGCAGGTCTGAGACAAGGACTCGGGGACCAGCAATAGTTTATTCTGGGGAGGGTGGAGTCTGGGATCCAGGAAGCAGTGCATCGGTGCACCTGGCTCTCAACTACAACTCCCAGAGTGCTGAGCGCCCAGGCACCTCGAGCGCACGTCTGCTTCCAGCTCAGGCTGGAGATCTACACATCCTTGTGTGGAAGCCAGGCGGCTTTGCAGGTGAGTGAGAGTGAACGGGTGTGTCTGCGTACATGAGCAGTGTGCGTGGCGGGTAAGCACGTCTGTGTTGGGAAGTGGGATGTTATCAGTGTGCGTGAGTAGCAAAATGTGACTGAGCCAGCGTGTGCACTGGTGTGTGCAAGTGAGCGTATGCAGCTCTTCACATGGGTGAATGTGTGTACGGGCGTGTGTGAGGGCATGTGATGCGTCTGAGGATGTGTCTGTTCTACTGAGGGATGCGTTTAGGTGAACCAGTATGCGTGTGTGAGTCCGCGAGCTTGTGAGTGTGCGTGTGGGCTGTTCGTGGGGCTGCACGAGTGGGAGGTGTGTGTCCTGCTCCGTTGCCACGTCTGCATTCCTCTGCAGGCGTCTAGCTGAGTGTGCCACTGCCCAGCTGCCCTAAGCTTTAAGGGTGCCTGTGGGGTTTACTTGTGCTTAGTGTGTGTGTGCGTGCACGTGCTCACGGCTGCAGGTGTAGGGAGCGGTGTGACACGAGGGCTTAGATGCTACTGTGTGTGTGTGCTGACGGGGACCTGCGTGCCACCTGGCCCTGGGTGTGTGTCCAGTTGCTGACAGGGCCTGGCCACGTGCGCTTGAGTCTGTATCGGTGCGCGTGTCTGGTGAGGCTCTGGATGTCGTTTGGTCGAGGGTTTTGTCAGTGCTGGTGTGTGGGTGGTGACTGCACTGGTCCCGAGGGCGTGGGGGTCATGTCTGAGGCCAGCGACCAGTCCAAACGGGAGGCTGTGGACAAGCTGGTTAAGAGCATGACTCAGCTCACTAGAACCAAGTGCCAGGAGTGGGGTACTGTTCTCTCTTCTTCACCGCTGCCCCTCTAGCACCTAGAATTGTGCCAGGTACCCAGTGGGTGCTTAATAAGTGCTTGCAGCATGAACTGGGACCCTGCTCCCCCCTCTGCTCTTCCTAGTGGTGTGTTTCAGCTCTCTGCTGGGCTTCGAGTGCTGGCTGGTGAGTGACAGCCCCTCCCGCACACGCTGTCACGAGTGCACGCAGAGGGCTTAGAGCCGGCTCTCCCTGCGGGGACTGCGGTCTGCGTGTGTCCTCTCTCCGGTGCCTCAAGGTCCTCTGTGGGTGCCAATGTCTGGTTTTCTGCCTCTGGGTCCGGTCTTGCTTGTGTCTGGACTCACAGCTCTGGGGTCAGTAGTCTGGGTCCCGACACCAGCCCCAGCCCTTTCTAGCTTTACGGCCTTGGGCACATTATGTCTCTGGGCCAGTGTCCCTCTCTGTGAAATAGGGACAGAGTTCTTACCTCATGGCGTACTTACAAGGTCAAATAAGGCAGCTGTGACCATAGCCCCAGGATGGCCATGGAGGGAACCGGCCGGAGGCTGGAGGTCAGAAGTGAGAGCCAGCAGAGCTCCAGGTCTGCCAAAGCAAGGAAGGTCAGCGGTGGGCAGACTGCAAAGCAGAAGAGGCCAAGCCCCAGTTACCAGGAGGCCGGGCTCTGGATGTGGTGACACCGTGGCGGAGAGGCTGGTCATGTGCCCGAGACACAGGACCCGGAGACTTCCTGACGGCCTCCTGTTGGTCCTTATACTGGCTGGAGGCCTCTCTGCTGGGAAGGCTCCGACTCTCCCTGTGAAGCCGCATTTGCTAAGCCCTCGTGGGTGATTTTTGGGGCGTCAGTATACAGTTGCAGTCATGTGAGCTGTATGTCAGTGTGACTTATGCAAGAGCGCGAGAGCTGGGAGAGTGACTTGCGTGAAATTGTGTAATTTTGCAGTTTTCTTCCCGATTACGTGTCTGTGACTGAATGCCAGTTTGCGGTGGGGGGTACTTTATTTTGTGGGTTTGTGTGTGACTGAGTGGGAGTGTGTGTGACAAGCAGCGATGAGTGATCTGGCGTGTTTCTGTGCGATGGAGTGTAAGGTGGGAGAGGGTTACCTGGTGGGTGACTTGGGGTGGCTGTTGTGACTGTCATGTAAGGCTGGGCGTCTGTGTGGGAGGAGCTCACTAGTACTGCCTGAGGAAGGGCGTGGGATGTGTGTGGCGGCAGGGGTGGGGTCCGATTATGACAAATGTGTCTAAACCAAGTGGTCACACTTTGGTGAGTCTGTGGCTAAGGTGTCACTGTCCCCCTGGTGAGGCACCCTGTGAAGGACGGCGCGTGGGGCCTGTTCTTTCTCTGAGGCCACACTGGGTTACTGAAGGCTCGTTTTGTGCCAAGGTGCGGCTGGGGTGGGTGAGGAAGGGGTGCCCCCCTGCCCACGTGACACAGCTGACTGCCCTCGCGTCCGTGCTCTGCACCCCGGTTTCCGCCACACCCTGTGGTCAGGCGCACTACCAGCACTCTCCGTATTACACACAGTGCGCTCTCATACTCTTTCAAATCCATTCTATTTCAGGTTTAAAACTTCTTGTCACAACTCACTGAAGCAGAGGTCTCACCTGGGGGTGACACGAGGCAGTATCTGAAGCCATTCCTGGCTGTCACGGTCAGGAGGGTGCTGCTGACACCTGGCGGAGAGGGGCCAGGGATCCTGCTCAACGGCCCACCACGTCCAGGTCAGTCCCCACAACACACACACTTACCTGGCTCAGAAGTCAGCAGGACCAACACTGAGAAATTCGGCTGTCTCTAAATTAGTTTTGTTTGATGAGTCATTGATGAGCCCCAACTGCCTAAAATTAGATGTCCATGTGATCCGGTGAGGGCTCCCTCAGCCCATCCTGGGCCCGAGTATCCTGATCAGTCCAAGTGCTCATCCTCCCGGATGAGCTGGATTCAGCCTTGACACGTTCCTTCCCTCTGCGGGTCACCCCGCTTCCCTGGACTTGAGAGTCTGTGCATACCTCTCCCTTTCCCAGCCTGGCCCCGATGTCCACCTTCACTGGAGAGTCGGTGTATCAGCCATGCTGTCTAGAGAAACAGAACATTAGTGAGATTTAAGAAGTGGCTCCTGCATCTGTGGGTTTGGCAAGTCCAAAATTTGCAAGGCTGCAAACCAAGGTGGGTGTTGATGCTGCCGTCCTAAGGCGGACTCTTCTCTGGGAAACCTCTTTTAGTTTGTAAGGTCCTTCAACGGTTGAGTGAGGCCCACCCACGTTATCGAGGATGACCACCTTTACTTAGAGTCAACGGGCTGTAAATGCTCCCCCCATCTATAGAGTGTACCTCCACAGCAGGACCCAGACCAGTACCTGACGGCCTGGCCAGGCTGATGTGTAAGACCGGCCATCACAACCGGTAATACAGCAGCCACGTCTTACTCTCAGTGTCTCGTCTCACATCTTACGGGAACCTGTATTTTGGAAAACTTTTTCAGGCTGGGATGCCGGATCTGACAACAGGACATCTTCCAAGCACAACGTCTCTGAAAGCTAGGCCCCAAAAGGCTCTTGAGACATGGAATTCATAAAGGCCGGCAGAATGGACAGCCTCCCCGAGAGAGCAATCCCAGCGCGAGCTGTGCGCAGCGGCAGAGGGGAGGCTTGGGCCATCCCAAGTGTGGGAGAGCCTTCAGCTCCGGCTCCTTCCTCGCTCAGCACCGGCGAATCCACTCGGGAGGGACCCTGTGAATGCAGTGAGTGTGCGAGGACCGTCAGCCAGAGGGCGAACCTTACTCAGCACCAGAGAGAAACCAGAGTGTGAGGACTGTGCCAGAGCTTTTGGGCAGGGCCCCTCCCTCCGGGAGCAAGGCCACGTCCCCACAGTGAATGGGAACCTTCAGCAAATGCTCAGCCCGCCTCTCCCATCAGAACATCCACACTGGCGAGCAGCCCCGTCAGTGTAACGAGTGTGGGAAGGCCGCCCGCAGCCGGTCTTCAGTCAGCACCAGAGCACGCGCGCTGGGGAGACCCTGTGAAGGCAGTGAGTGCGCGAGGGCCTTCCGCTGGGCCTCCCCCCTTCCTCTCCACCAGAGAACTCATACAGGCGAGAACACCTACAAGTGCCCAACTATAGAAAGCCCTTCCCGTACGGGTCCTCCCTCACCGAGCACCAGAAAACCCACCCAGGAGAGAAACGCTACAAGTGCGGAGACGGCGAAACGTCTTCAGCTACAGCTCCTCTCGGCCTCGGGAGGATCCCTGTACACGTAAGGCGTGGGGGGCCACCTTCAGGCACTGCTCTTTCCTGCCCAGGCACCAGAGGACCCACTGCATCAAGACAGCTGACTGTAAGACTGTCTGAAAGCCTTGAGTCGTGGTTCATCTAAAATGTACATCAGAGGTGCCACACCAGGGGGAAGTGCTACAGATACAGTGATTTGGTGGCAACTTCCAATGCTTCTTACTGAAATGTGTGCATGGAACCTTCAGATTTCATTCAGCCCTCCAGATGCCTAAGACATCACACTGTACATTACTCATGGGGATATGGGTTGGGGGTCCGCAAACCACCCCCAGGTTCAGTGACCCACTGGAAGGACTCTGAGTACGCAGCATAGTCACACCCATGGCTAAGACTTACCACGGTGAAAGGATTCACTACACAACCAGCAATGGGAGAAGGTGCACGATGGAGTCTGGAGGAGACGAGGTGTGAGCTTCCAGAGTTCTCTCCACAGGAAGTTGCTCCGGACACGCTTAATTCCTCCAGCGAGATGTGGCAGCACTTCCCTGCCTCCTCCTTCAACCTGTGGAGCTCTTTCCTGACCTCAGGGCCTTTGCTTGTGCTGCACCCGCTGTCCAGAACAGCTCCTCCCCGTGTTCCAGGGCTGACTTCTCACCCTGTGGTCTTGACTCGAAGGCCACCTCCTCAGAGAGCCCTGTTTGGACTCCCCAGTCTAAGCTCAGCCCTCCCAGGATCACTGCCTGTGCCGCGCACCTGGTTTTCTTTCCCTCTGTAGTATGTACCACCTTGTTTTGTCTTTTTATTACACACTGAAGTTTGAGAAGTACTAGTGTCAGGAAAGAGTCGATTCAGATGGAGGCCTTCAGGTCAAGCATACCTCTCCAGCTCAGCCTCAGGCCCCACTCACCTTTGGACAAAGGGCCTGGTCCCTGCAGGCACTCCGGTTTTCAACCCTTGCCTTAAGCTAGTGTTTCTGAAACTTTAGCTTTCAACACAGCCCCCGGAGGGCTTGTTAAAACCCCCAGTGATCAGGAGGTCTGAGAGCGCCTTTCTAGCACTTTCCCTTGTGTATGAGTTTCTTATGACTGCTCTGACAAATTACCACAAACTGGGAGCCTTAAAACAACAGAAATGTCTCTCACTGTTTGAGGCCAGAAATCTGAAATCAAGGCGTCAGCGGGGGTGCACTCCAGCTGCAGGCTTTAGGGGAGGAGGGCTCCTTCTTGGCCTCTCCAGCTCCTGGCGGCTGCTGGCGTTGCTTGCCTGGTGGACGAGTCATCAGTCTTCAAATCCTGTGTGTCAGACTGCCCTCTGCCTCCCTCTTGGAAGGACACATCTTTTGGCATTTAGGGCCCATCCAGACAGTCCAGGATAACCTCTCTACCTTGAGATCCTTAGTCACGTCTGAGAAGACCCTTTTCCAAATAAGGTAACATCTAGTTTCCAGCAGTAGGACCTGAACCCTTAGGGGGCCACCCTTGGCCTACTATACCATCTAATGGGGAGCTGCTCTGGTCCCAGTGAGTCACAGTGTGGCCTGCGAGTCACAAGGGCCGGGCCTGGACTCAGTCCTGACACCACCGATTTCTAGTTGCATGCTCTTGAGCAAACTGCTGCGTCTCCCAACCTGTTTCCTCTCAATCCCCACCTAGTCGGGGCATGGGGATTAGAAACCATGTAAGCACCTAGCATAGGATCTGACCCATAGTAATTCTGATGCCTCCAAGTGGGCCTGTGGGCCAGACATAAAATACCAGCAGATGGCATACAAAACTGAGCATTCCAGCCTCTACTGAAAAATCTAAAGCTCTGGTAACAGTAGGTCCTTCGGTTACAGCTATTTCCCCCCTTCACTACATTCCGCATTCCACCTACCTGGCTCCCTCAGGTGGCTGGGTTTGCATCCTACAGATTCTTCGCAGCTCAGGTCTTTTCTTCTCTATTCCAAACCGGTCTTTTTACCTGAAAGGCTGAAGCAGTCAGATGCCATGGCAGAGGGTCCCACCTGGAGGAGACCTGCTGCTCAGATGGCCTGGACCGAGAGTGGGAGGAGATTCAGTGCTGAGGCCCAGGGTGGGGGCATGGCCGACCCCCGTGAGCTATATTCACAAGCAGGTGTGGGTGTGGACGCATATACTCACCACACTGCTGTGTGTCTCTGCATTTTCCTTCAGGGTATCCATGGCCTCCAACTACTTTTGGAAGCCTGGGGTCTTGTTGGCTTAAATGCATACAGGGGGGCAACGGTGAAGTAACCCCATTTCCTGGGATGCTGGATTTTTGAGAACTATAACCAAAAAAATCCCTACACAAAGAAACCTACAACTGCAACAGTATGTAGGAATAACTAAGGAACACTGATGAGAAGAAAACCACAAAACCTTACCGGCTGATAAAAATGCTTGAATATATAAAAGGAAAATACATTCCTAGATGCTAAGATTAAACTTAACAATGTTAATTCTCTCTAATTCCTAAGTTCACGTCAATAATTATTAAAAGGCTGTTTTTAATTGGTAAACAAATTTTCATCTAGAAGAATAACAATTATTTCATACACTTCTTAAAGGCACAATGAATTCTGGTTTTTGAAGTGAAAAAAAGTGAATAAAGGGCTGCAAATGGCAAAACATCCTTTTTTATAGGTGAGTTGTAGTCCATTACATATATATATATATATATACACACACACACACACATATATATGCTACAGCTTTATCATCTATTCAACTGTTGATGTGCACTGAGGATGCTTCCATATCTTGGCAATTATAAGCAATTTTGCTGTTACATACAGCCTGCTATTATCTTTTTGAGTTAATTCTTATTTTGTGGATGGCTTTTTCCTTTGATAACTACATAAGTTTAAAAAGCTAAAGCTTTAAACGTTCTTAGAAACAATGAACAAGTACATATATGTAAATTAAAAAATATATGTGTGGTAAAAAAAATTATCTATCAAGCCATGAAAGACATGGAAGAAACTTAAAAGGCTACAAACTGTACAATTCCAACCAAATGACATTCTGGAAAAGGCACAGCTAGAGAAACAAAAAGATCATGGTTTCCAGGGGCCTGGGGAGAGGGAGGGAGGGAGGAATGAATAGACACGGCACAAAAGGGATTTTTAGGGCAATGAAATTACTCTGTATGATACTATAGTGGTGGCTACACGTCATTATGAATTTGTTAGAACCCATAGAATGTACAATATCAAGAGTGAACCTTAATGTAAACTACAGACTTTGGTTGATAATAATGTGCCCATGTTGGTAAATCAATTGTACCAAAATATGCCACACTGATGAGGGATGTTGAGTGTAGGGGAGTATATGTGTGGGTGGGGAGGGCTATGTGTGAACTCTATTTTCTGCTCAGTTCTGTTATGAACCTGAAACTGCTCTAAAAGAATAAAGTCCATTAAAAAAAAATACCACAAATTCTCTAGGAATCAATTTAACAAAGCATGCTCAAGGTATTTATAGAACTTTACAATTCTACTAAGGGATATAAAATAAAATCTGAACAAACTAAAAGATAAAAAAAGGCAAAATAATGGAAAACTCATAATGCTATAAAAATTTAAAACTACAGATCTAGGATAAAATAGGGCAACAAGACAGTGAAAGTGAATGATCTGGATACAGAGCCTACTATGAAATAATATGTTATGACTGTATGTATCACTTATTAAAGTTAATGTTGGGGATTTAACAGTGGGGAGTAATTTTTATCCTATTCTGTAATACATCAAAGTAACTACAAGATTAGTTAAAAACGATAAAACACTAATGAAGGAAATTACAGATGATTTCACTAAATAGAAAGATAGCCCATGTTCTTGGATTAGAAGAATTACATGTTAAAATGGCCACACTACCCAAAACAATCTACAGATTCAATGCGATCCCTATCAAATTACCTAGGACATTTTTCACAGAACTAGAACAAATGTCCTAAAATTTATATGGAATCACAAAAGACCCAGAATTGCCAAAGCAATACTGAAGAAAAAGAACGAAGCTGGAGGAATACCCCTCCCAGACTTCAGACAATACTACAGAACTACAGTAATCAAAACAGTGTGATATTGGCACAAAACAGGGATACGGATCAATGGAGCAGATCAGAGAGCCCAGAAATAAACTCACACACCTACAGTCAATTAATCTTTGAGAAAGGAGGTAAGAATACACCATGGAGGAAAGACAGTCTCTTTGGCACATGGTGTTGGAAAAGCTGGACAGCAACAGCAACATGTAAATCAATGAAGCTAGAACACTCCCTCACACCATACACAAAAATAAACTCAAAATGGCTTAAATATTTAAGCAAGACAAGACACCATAAATCTAGTTAAGAACATAGGCAAAACATTCTCTGATAGAAATTGTAGCAGTGTCCTCCTAGGTCAGTCTACCAAGGCAATAGAAATAAAAGCAAAAATAAACAAATGAGACCTAATTAAACACATAAGCTTTTGCAAAGAAAAGGAAACCATAAGCAAAATGAACAGACAACCTATGGACTGGGAGAAAATGTTTGCAAATGATGCAACTGACAGGGGCTTAATTTCCAGAATATACAAACAGCTCATACAACTCGGTAACAAAAATACAAACAACCTAATCAAAAAAACAGGCAGAAGATCTAAGCAGACATTTCTCCAATGAAGACACATAGATGGCCAACAGGCACATGAAAAGATGCTCAATATTGCTAATTATCAGAGAAATGCAAATCAAACTATAATGAAGGATCACCTCACACCAGTCAGAATGGCCATCACTCGAAAGTCCATGAATGATAAATGCTGGAGAGGGTGTGCAGAAAAGATGGGAATGTAGCTTGGTGCAGCCGTTATGGAAAACAGTATGGAAATTTCTTAAAAAAGTAAAAACAGACTTACCGTATGATCCAGCAATCCCACTCCTGGGCATATATCTGGAGAAAAATATAATTCAAAAAGACACCTGCACCCCAATGTTCATAGCAACACTATTCACAAATAGCCAAGACATGGAGACAGCCTAAATGCCCACTGACAGAGGACTGGATAAAGAAGCTGGGGGTGTATTCATACAATGGAGTACTGCTCAACATAAAAAAGAATAAAGTGCCATCTGCAGCAACATGGATGGACCTGGAGATCATCATTCTAAGTGAAGCCAGAATGAGAAAGACAAATACCATATATCACTCATATGTGGAATCTTAAAAAAAAAAAAAAAAGGACACTACGAACTCATCTACAAAACAGAAACAGACCTGCAGACATAGTAAACAATCTTATGGTTACTGGGGAAAGGGCGTGGGAAGGGATAAATTTGGGAGTTTGATATTTACAAATGTTAACCTCTATATATAAAAATAGATTTTAAAAAAAGTTTCTGCTGTATAGCACAGGGAACTATGTTCAATACCTTGTAATAACCTTTAATAAAAAATATGAAAATGAATATATGTATGTATATGCATGACTGGGACATTGTGCTGCACACCAGAGATTGACACATTATAACTGACTGTACTTCAATTTAAAAAAAAAAAGACTGAGAAAAAAATCCACAAATGATAAATGCTGGAGAGGGTGTGGAGAAAAGGGAACCCTCCTATATTGGTAGTGGGAATGTAGTCTGGTGTAGCCACTATGGAAAACAGTATGGAGATTTCTTAAAAAACTAAAAACAGACTTACCATATGATCCAACAATCCCACTCCTGAAGAGATACCTGGAGAAAACTAATTCAAAAAGACATCTGCACTCCAGTGTTCACAGCAGCACTATTTACAATAGCCAAGGCATGGGAGCAGCCTAAATGTCCTAAATGTTCTTTGTCCAGATGACTGGATAAAGAAGTAGTGGTATATTTATACAATGAAATACTACTTGGCCATAAAAAAGAATAAAATAATGTCATTTGCAGCAATATGGATGGAACTGGAGATCGTCATTCTAAGTGAAGTAAGCCAGAAAGAGAAAAATGCCATATGATATCGCTTATATGTGGAATCTTAAAAAAAAAAGGGACATAAATGAACTTACTTACAAAACGGAAACAGACTCACATAGAAAACAAACTTATGGTCACCAAAGAGGGAAGGGGGAGGGAGGGGTAAGTTAGGAGTTTTGGATTTGCAGATACAAACTACCATATATAAACAGATAAACAACAAGGTCCTCCTCCTCCTCCTACTATTCCCTACCTCTAGGGAAATGCCAAGACCCACGAGATAATGGGGAAGTGTAATTACGGCAGAAATGTACACATAGGAGATAAATTACAGGTGTACAACACAGTGACTCGCTATTTTTATACATTATGAAATGATTACCACAAGGAGTCCACTTACCACCCACTACCACACAAAGTTGTCACTGCATTACTGACTGTATTCCCTATTTGTACATTACATCCCTGTGACTTATTTTATAGCTGGAAGTTTGTACCTCTTAATCCCATTCACCTATTTTGTCTGTCCCCCATCCTCATATGATAGTATATGTTAATATTTATAATTAAATATGAAATAAATTTTAAAAAGGTTTTCAAAGGAATACAAAAGGATAAAAGAAGCAACCCCGTTTCCACCCTGGAAGTCCAGTGAAATAAGTTAGGCCATATCTATTCAACCAAGTACCAGGCAGTCCTGAAAGATGAAACTGAGGGATGTATTTATGAATATGGGAAGATGTTCACGATATATTAGAATAAAAGTCATAGCCTTTAAAACAGTGTTAATGGTATGATTCTATTTCATATTGTAAAATCTATGTAAATCTATACATAGGAAAAGTATCTGGACAATTTACACCCCTCTTAGCAGCAAGTATATCCAGGACAGGGAAATACAAATATTCCCCAAAAAAACCCCACCAAACCCAAATATGTATCTTTTACATTTCTTCAAGGAATATGTATTACTTGCATATTCACCAAAAAAAAAAAGCTTAAAACATGAATGTTTCTAAATTTAAAAAAATCAACCTGAATACAAGAGCAGTGCACGAACTGGCCGATACACCAGGAACTGGGTGGGGAAAGCACTGTCCCCGGGGCCCCCAGGGCAGCAGTGAGGAGAGCAGCAGCTGAAAGTCAAGTAACGGCGGAGGCCCCCCATCGTGGCTGGCTCGAGCACAGCCTGTAGAACACGGAGACAGTGCCTTGTGCGTGTTCCATAAGCTCCAGATCGTCCAGGGGTGACAGGAAGAGTTCACTGTCTGTGGTGTAACCACCGCCATTTGTGGCATGAAAGAGGCATCGGAACAAAGTCAAGGCTGGTGCTCCCTGATTTTCTCGAGTTAAGGCTCTTTGAGAAGCCTGAAGCCCTGGGGCACGGTCCTCAACAAATGGCCTCCACCGGACCCCTCGAGGCGTCTCTACCACCTCTTAATTCAAGTATCTAAAGACCAGGGTGGAGTAACGGAGGGAGGCATGTAGACAAAAGCCTAGAAGAGGTAAGGAACTAAAGCAGGTGGACCATGAAGAATCCAGTGCCAGTGAAAGCTCTGAAGCCTCACTGCCTGGGAATGGGGCCGGGGCTTGGAGCATGATTTTAAAAGGCTGGGCCTTTGGGAAAAGCCAACATCACATGCACCCTGACAGAATGACATAAAGGACACAAAACCACCTATTAGCTGTTCTTGCCAAAGAAGCTGAAGATGAATCTAATTAAGTCTCCAGAGTCTCAAGCTAACCTCTGTTTACAGAAAACACAGAGGAGAGAGGAAGAAGCTTAAGGATATCACAGGAAGCAAACAGACACAAACGGAAGGGGGACATTCTGGAGGACAGCTGACCCAGTTTCTCCCAGAATTATTTGCATTATTACACAAAGCTTTAAAGAAAAAATGAGTGCTAGGATGATGGCTGCCAGGGCCGGAGGGAGGCAGAAGTGGGGAGTTATTGTTTAATGGATATAGAGTTTAAGTTTTACAAGATGAAAAGGTCCTGGGGATCCACTGCACAATAAGGTGACTATACTTAACACTACTGAATTGTACACTTTAAAATGTCTGAGATGGCTGATTTTATGTTACGTGTTTCTTACCACAATTAAAACCTTTTTCAATGAATGCTTCTAATTTAAAAGAATTAAGCCTGAGAATAAGAGGAATACTAAAACTGTTAGACATATTAGGAATTGGATGGGGAGCAGAAGGAAGTATATTTCCACATTATTCTCGGGGTCACACAAGGCATTAAAAACAGTGAAAGAGACTGCTTTAGATTAAGACAGACTCAAGAGTCAGACAACCAAATGCAATCGATGGACCATGTTTTTGGATCTGGATTCAAACTAGCCTCCTGTAAAAGGACATCTGGAGAATGACTGGGAAACTCTGTGATCTGGGTAAAATGCTTTGTCTGAGCTGATTTAAAATTTTCCCCTTTAAGTAGATGTATTGAACTTAAAAAACAACAGAGATGACACAATTGAAAAGAAAACGTGTTAAGTAAATAACAATCCATGTAGAATGTAGATTTAGCAGAAAATAGGGAAGGAAGACGTGAAATGACAGATTGATAAGGGCCTGAGTAAACCTATGACCCTGGGGAAGGAAGCAGATTTCCCAAGACAGTGATGAGGTAGAGACTGTCATAAAGGCACGACAGGACATTCCTGCAGGTGAAGGGGAGAAATGAGAGGGAGGAAAAGAAGTGTTCAGAGAGGATGGGATCTGTGAAAAGGCACCAGAGCCAACTTGCAAGGACTCCCAGCGGCCAGAGCTGGAACAATCTGAACAAAATAAATAATGATAGTATTGAATTACAGTCCATAGAATATAATAAATATCCATGAATCCATACTGACACAAATAAATAACTGAATAAATAGGGAGGACAACTCTTTCTCACAGGTCCATTCTAATTACTAAACGTAGAAAGAATGAGGGAAAGTAAAAAATCACCATAATACTACAGAGTAAAAATGGCTGTAGGTAAGACCCACTTGCTGGATATTAGAATTTAGTAGGTAAAAGTCTGAGGAGAAAGTAGATCCTTGCAGTCTCAAAGTTTCTCCAGCAAGATATGTATTACTCACAACGAGAAACAAATCAAGGTTGAACAGCGCCATCAAGAGTAAGATGCACTGACCACAAGTCCCTCTGTGGTAGCGGCGGCAGGACGAGACACCGATGTGCAGCAGCTCGGGGGGGCGGGCTGTGGCGAGAAGACAAGGCCAGCCAGCGAGGGCCGTTTCCTCAAGAACTTGGCAAATGAAGAAGAGGAATCGTGCAGCTGGCGCCCACGGGGCTGGGGCAGGGTCTAAGGAGTCATGTCTGTTCTTAAGTCCATGACTTTGGAGCTACACGTCCCAGATCAACCTCAAAGATGGCTGGGCAAGAAAAAGCAGGGCAGTGAGTAACGATGGCAGCAACTCGCCCTCCAGGCAAGGAATCCGGTTCTGGGACTCCAGGTGCAGTCGGCTCCCAGGCGCCTCTGCATCTGACCACCACTCAGGTCAGCGATGGAAAACTCACATCATAGCCATATGGTCTCAAAGAGGTTTTTAGTGCAAGGCAGGGCTCACACTTTAAAAGAACAAAGTCCAGCAGAGAATTGGGATTTTAGGTGAAGCCGGCTGTGCGGATGATGTCAGAGCCCAAGAAAAGCAGAAATACTGTTTTCAAACAGCCTGTTTTAAAAGGAAGAAGAGGGAAAGAAAGAAAAATAAGACACCCCCAAATCCCCAAACGACTACGGAAAACTACACGAAAGTTCTGCTTGATCAGTAGCGGCTTATGCTCTACAAGAGCAATTACAAGGAAATGTTTAGCAAAAAAAGTTCCCTGATTCCGTGTCTCAAAAATTCATCATCTTATCCTAAATCACGATAACCACTTTGGTTATCAGAACTTCACCCTGACAAAGCTCTCTACAGGTGTCCCCATCTGATCTGCTGTGAAACAATGTTGGGATCACTGAAAAGGAAGATGGCTGCAGTCAGTCTCATACCTTTTCTTCAGAGAGGATTGGCAGGAATATAAAAACTGGGTTGAACATCAAGATATGAAACAAATATCTCACGGCATCTCAAAAACCAAACCAAACCAAACCTGGGTTCAGTTCCTGCCCCATCACTTACAACCTAGGTCAAATCAAATGACAACCTGGAGTTTCAAGTTTGCTACTTCTGAAAAAACATCCTCACACTAGGCACATACACGCAGCATTCCTTAAAATATCAAATAATATATGTGGCAGTGCTTTGCAAATTATGAGGTACTATGTGAACATATCACCAGTTACTTCAGCTTGGTGGATGGATCAGTACACACTTCAAGAATCTTTTTATCATGTCCTGTGCCCATACCTCCCGTATGGTAAAGATACTGTACATAAACACTTCTATAAAAACTCAGGCAACAGAATTCCTGTCTTGAGCCCAACTCCAGCCAGAAGTTTTTGTTGAGATGTCAAAATAATGCTCTCCATTTTATGGATACCACCAAAGAAGGGCAAAATCTATTAATGTCTTTCCTACACAACAAAAAAATTCTTTGTAAGGTATTTTCCTGGGTGGCTGACACATGTGCTGACTCTCCTTCTGCAAAAAGCTTGTTCTATACTCTTGTAACCAGTCGCTGTTTTCTCATGACACCACGACGACTCTTCCAGCTGTTAAAACAGCGTGAGGGCTGGTGGAAGGCCGCCTCGTATTCAGAGCACTCAAAGGGTCTCTCTCCAGGAGAAAGTCAAAGATGTTGACAAGGTTCTGACTGAAGGTTTTTCAGCACTTGCACTCAATGGTTCTCTGCTGAGAATGGAGTTGATAATGTTGAGTAAGGTGTGAGGGTCGGCTGAAACACTTCCCACACAGCTGACACTGGTAAGGCCTCTGTTGAGCATGAATTCGATAGTGTTGAATGAGATGTGAACTCCGACCGAAAGCTTTGCCACAGTCACAACACTGACAGGCTCTCTCTCCAATGTAGCCATGTTTCCGCTGATATCGAATTAAGTACGTCTTGTTGCGGGGCAACCCAGGTGGAAGGGCTTTTTCTGCCTCATGAGCTTTGAGATGCTGAAAAAAATGCACGTCCTGGACAAAAGCTCTGCCACACTGCAAACATTCGTAGTAGTCCTCCTGACTGTGCGTTCTCACGTGGCCACAGATATTTGCCTGTGGGATGAAAGACCTTCCACCTTCATTGCATCCAGAGGCCTTCTCCCTGGAATGAGTCTTCTGATGTCTGGCGAGGTGTGGCATGAGGTAGAAGGCTTCGCCACACTGGTTACACTCAAAGGGTTTCTTCCCCATATGGGTCTGCTCGTGCCTCTCGCAGGCCATCTGGGTACTATAGCTTCTTCCACAAAATTCACACCTGTTGGGTTTGTCCTCTTGGAGGAAAGGCCCACAGTCCACTGGCTGGGGACTTGTGCAAATTCCAGGAGTAGTGCATTTCTGGGGGTCCTTTCCTAGAAGACCCTCTGACTGTTTAGTAAGATCTGAGCTCTCAAATTCATCACTGTCATGGCTTCTTTCCTGAGCAAGGGTCTTGGGGTCACTCATTCTAACAGGACTCAAAAGTTTCTCCTGGTTGATCCGGTGCAAATCCAATGGACGATCAGGAGAAGACTCTCCTCCATGGGCACGTGAGAAGTTACCTACCTCCAAATCCTCCACTCCTGCCCCTGAGGATGACTTTCCTATAGGCAATCTTTGCTTTGGAGTCAGATGTTTGGTTTCAGGTTTTTTCTCCAAATCTAAAAGAAACGCAAAAGTTCCTCTACTTCTTTATGCAGAGAGACACACCACTATAGTAGAAACAGAAGAGACCAAAAATAACAGAATAATCCTTATGGAGGTTTGAAGAGTTTTCTGGGAAACTTAGGAGAGAATGGGAGAAGGATGGAAAGCATGGTAAGCAAGGAAGGGTGAGAATGAGGCAGAAGAGAGACCATTCAGGAGGACTGAACCTGACAAAGATGCAGACACAGGAGAATGCGGAGGAGACCTGGGACTGGGGTTTGTCAGCACTTTCCAGACCACGATCGGCAGGTCACCACAATTCTGAAGAACTGATCGCTGTGGCCATAAAAGGACTCCACTGTCAAGTCAATCTGGCAGATACTGTATGATTCAAGTCCAGCAGGTTTCACTCCTGTAGGACTCTCCAGACCTGTAACTGGCATCTCAAATCCCAAAGAGAAGTACAGTACATGGTATTTCTCAAACTCATCTCACTCCCCAACACTTTTTTAAAAAAAGAATGCCTGCTTCCATAGTTCTGCAGGACCAGTGGGGAAACACCAGAGTAAACAGGGCAACAGCCTCTTGCTCAGAATGAAGCAAAAGGATTTTAACTCTGTTCTTGGTTCCCAGTCTCTTGTTTTACCCCATTCCCTTCAATTCAACATTTATTGAACACCTCTTTTGAGCAAGACATTATCCAACCAGATGGTCATCACAAGTCTGCAGAAAGGGCTCTAGTCAGACCATCAATGACTATGGGAGAAGAGATGGGGGAACTGAGTCCACGGAGGAGCAGGAAACGCTTAGCAGAGGGGATGGCACTGGGACTCAGGAAGCCATGATGGGGGTGCAAGCTTTACAAGACCCTGAGCAAAGACGCTGAACTGTGAAAGTACACAGTCCTGGGGAGCCAGCCACACAGGTTTCACCTGGAGTGTCTGTGAGAGACAAGGCTGGGATGTGAATTTTAGGCCAGACTGGGAAGGATTTAAATGTTTTGCTAGAAGTTTGGATTTTATTTTGAAGGTGGTAAGAGCTGGTCAGGTCTGTGCTTTATAAAGGGATCACAACAGATTACATCGCTTAGGAATGGTCTTCGGAGAGAGCACTCAGCGTGGAAGACGGAGAGGCAGCCCAATCCCCTGACTCCTGCTCCTCGCCCTGCCGTGCAGCCAGTGTCCCACATGTTCCGCCAGGTCTACGCTCACAGGACACCTCAGAACCGACCGCTCTGCAGTCACAGCACCGGCCTCCGCCAGCTCTAGGCTGCTGGACTTCCACAGACTCCCAAATGGCTTCTCTGCTGGCCTACCTAAAGCCCATTTTCTAGAGAACAGCCAGAGGGATCTTTCCAGAACAGTGCCGCCCAGCAGAACGCCCTGCAGTAACGCATATGGTCCCTATTTTTGGAGTCGATACAGCAGGGATTTAGGCTTATGCGGCTGGTGAGCACTTGAAACATACCTGGTGTGACTGAGAAACTACATTTAAATTCTGTCATTTTAATTAGCGTGACTCTAAGCAGATCTTGCACCGCCTTCCACTTCAGACCACAGAGCTCCCCTTTCTGTCTGGGGAACCCCCAGGCTCGTTCCAACCTCGGGGCCTTGCTGGGTGCTGTCCCCCCTCCAGCAACACTCCTCCTCAAGATTCTGTGGGGCTCCTCCTTGTCTCACTCACGTCCTCCTCAGCGAGGCCCTTCCTGCCGACCCCATCTCAAGCAGCCTCCCACATGCCGCTCTGTCTGCTTCACACACTGACTCTATTTGTCTGTTCATCAGGCATCACCCCTGTTGGAACGCAAGCTCCACGAAGAGATTCTGTCTGTGTGAGAGAATGCCTGGCCCACCACGGGAGCTCAATACATCTCTGTGGAACGACTGTATAAATAAACAAATGAACAAACAAACTACAGTATAGAAGAGAAGGCAATGAAGGAAACAGAGAGGCAGGCAGAGGCGTCCCTGGGAGGTCCCTGGACTTCATTTGGGCATCCACCTCTCTGCCCGCGTGGGGAAAGGCAGGGAGGGCTGTGTCACTTAGCACCAGACTGGGCACAGCTACTAGTTCGGGAATGGGATGTGGCCCAACACGAAACAGTGGGCAACGAGGACAGGTGTGCAAGGGCTTCTGGGAAAGAAGCTTCCTCACTCTGGAGAATGCTCCTTGGACATGCCTGCCCTTCAGACAGAAACAAGAAAGCATATTTATGATCTGTTGGCAGAGTGAAGAGAGAAAATGAAACCAGTGGTCCTTAATGACATCACTGAGCCCCACAGCCGACCGCCCTCAAGCCCAGCTGTCCAGCGTCATAAGCTGATGATCCGCCTGTGGCTTGCACCAGTTCGGGTGTGGTTTTCTTTCACTGTAACTGAAGGACAACGATGATCCTGGCTGATACACATGGTGACCCAATTCAAAGAAGAGGATTTCATAAAGATGGTAAACATTACTATACTGTAGCTACAGAGTTTGGGGAAGTAAAGTCGAGAAGTTTCTTGTCTTTGAGATGAAAGGATGTCAGTGGGAACCTTCTGGGGAAGTTTTAGAACACAGTATGGGTGTCTGTCGGCGGGGGCAGAGGTAGGGGGTCGGAAACCAGATTGTAGGGAGTTCAGGAGGGAAGAGCGGGTTTGGGTGTCAACAAGTCTGAGGAGCTGCCATGAGGGAAAATGGGAAGCAGCTGGAAAGAGCAGCAGTCTCACGCCAAGGCTTTTGCTTATCTCAGTTAGAGAGGAAAGCCCTTTGATCCGTGCTGCTGGGGAAAGGCACGAATGCATACAGGGGTGGAACACTAGAGAAAAGGGAAACTGGCCTCCCTGGAGCTGGGCAGGAGAGGAACTCAAGCTGCAGGAAGAGAGGAGCTTCGGAGACGAGATGAAAGGAAGGACTGAGTGCACAAGGGGTGGTCAAGTCGCGCGAGCCCCTGAGGCGAGGGCACCTCCCGCCTTCTCCCCAACATGAGCGGGCTCTGAGGACAGCTCCGGCCCCTCCCGGCTGACTGGGGTTGCCCTCCCACAACTGTCCCCAGGGCCTCCCGTCACTCCTCACTCACCTGGACACATCATTGCGCTGCCGTCTCCCTCCGCTGCGCAAGCCTCCTCCTCTTCCAGCCGTGAGATAATGTCGGGTTTAGGGAACTGGTGCCCTGTTGAAGGAAACTCATAACTTGGGGGTTCTGTCCTGTATCCACGGGAGCTCCTAGCCTGAGTTCCAAAAACTCTGAGATAATAAGGAAGATGAAAATTCACACAGAAGAGAAATGAAGCCTGTCTCCAGCGACCTTGCCCCCAGGGGACATACGGCGGCATCTGAGACAGTTCAGGCCATCACCACTCACCCAGGGACACCAGGTTCCTGTAGTTCTCCAGCATCACCTCCCGGTAGAGATGCCTCTGAGCAGCACTAAGGTAGGTTAACTCTTCTGGACTGAAGTCCACAACCACATCCTTGAAAGTCACCAACTCCTGAAATGAAACACTCCTAAGTGATCGAAATCCAGGAATTATCCTGAGGGGGGAATGGCGTCTGATGAGAGAGGAGTGACCATGAAGCAGACACTCAGACCAGCAGAAAGCTTCTAATCCAAGTGTTCTAATCCAGAGGTTTCAAGGACCTAGCAATACACCTTTCTGTGTCTTGTAGTCTGAGAGAAGTGGGAACGTTTCTGAGACAGTTTCTGTCTCAGATCTGGGTTGGAGAAGAAAGATCCTTTTGAATCACTCCATAAAGAAAGAAAAATGCAAATAATTAAAGGCTGGCAGTGTGCCTCAGCCTCAGGAATCAGAGGTGGGTTTAAGTTCTGGCTCTGGTTCTTCCTTACAGGCTTTCTGAGGGTAGACAGGTGAAGCCACAGTGGCTCATCTGTAAGAAACAGAGAGCTCTAAATATGAAGCAATACTCAACCTTACTAATAAGCAAGAAATGCATTTCAAAATGACAAAGTACAATTTTACACCCATTCAGAGGTATAAAGCAAAGATTAAAAAGTCTGACAATACTAAATATTATCTGGAATGTGGACCTTTGGGCCCTCTTATAAGATGCTAAGGAAAATGTAAATTAGTAAACCACTTTGGACTGAGAAATTCTATTCCTAGCTGTATTTGCTCATGTGTGCTTAGAGACAGATATGTTCATAACAGTGCTGCTTAGAACATCCAAAATCTAGAAAAGATCCAAACATTCATTTATAGTAGAGGAGATAGTGTATTATATAGTATAGCCATACAATGGAATAATATTTCAGCAATACAAACTAATTAACTACAGTTACATGCAGCAACCTTGGTAACCGAAGGGTGAACGTAAAAAGCAGTTATTAAAAGACTATGTAGAGGCTGTGGAGAAAAGGGAACCCTCCTGTACTGCTAGTGGGAATGCAGTTTGGTGCAGCCACTGTGGAAAACAGTATGGAGATTCCTCAAAAGAATAGGAATAGACTTACCATATGACCCAGGAATCCCGCTCCTGGGCATATATCCAGAAGGAACCCTACTCCAAAATGACACCTGCACCCCAATGTTCATAGCAGCACTGTTTACAATAGCCAAGACATGGAAACAGCCTAAATGTCCATTGACAGATGACTGGATAAAGAAGAAGCGGTATATTTATACAATGGAATACTAATCAGCCATGAAAACTGAAAACATAATGCCATTTGCAGCAACATGGATGTTCCTGGAGAATGTCATTCTAAGTGAAGTAAGCCAGAAAGAGAAAGAAAAATACCATATGAGATCGCTCATATGTGGAATCTTAAAAAAAAAAGAACATAAATACAAAACAGAAGCAGACTCATAGACATAAAATACAAACTTGTGGTTGCCAGGGGAGGTGGGAGGGATAGACTGGGAGTTCAAAATTTGTAGATAGTGATAGATAAACAAGATTATACGGTATAGCACAGGAAAATATATACAAGATCTTGTGGTAGCTCACAGCAAAAAAAAAGTGACAATGAATATATGTATGTTCATATATAACTGAAAAATTGTGCTCTACACTGGAATTTGACACAACATTGTAAAATGACTATAATGCAATAAAAAATGTTAAAGAAAAAGAAATAAAAGATGGGACTCTGCCTGCTATGATTTGTAATCTTAACTGGGAAAAGAAAGGCTTACACACATGAACTAACAAGAGAATAATGCATATACTAACTGCATTACTAATATATATATTACTAATATATGTAAAATAAATAAACAAGTTTATACTGTAGAGCACAGGGAACAATATTCAATATCTTGTAGTAACTTATGGTGAAAGAGAATATGCAAAATGAATATATATATATGTATGTTTCTATACGACTGAAGTATTGTGCTGTACACCAGAAATTGACATAACATTGTAAACTGACTATACTTCAGTAAAAATGTATTCTAAAAAAGATAGGCCTTCCTGAAAAATTGAATGAATGAATAAATAAATAAATAAAACAGCACAATCAAGTGCCAAAAAAAAAAGACTATGTAAGACCGTGATACCCAATTTTACTAATATCTCTCTCTCGTGTTTTCACAGAAACAGTGCGCAGATCAATGAACATCTGACTTACACCAGGGGGCATGTACTGGCTGTCCAGCTCTTAGAGGTATTTATTTGATTCACATGGGTTTTTCACTCTTTTCAAAACTCATATCAGCTGCCAGCCTCAAAAAAAAATTGTAGATTTCATATTATTCACAGGGTTTCTGGCTTCTCTTAAAAAAAAAAATCAAAAGACCTGGGGCGCTAGGCCCACATTCTCACATGGCACCATCAGCTAAATCTGAGTCACAGCTGCCCCTTAGATGGAGCAGGTGCCCCCTACTTTCTCATAATCCACCTACTTATAAATTCATTTATATTCCTCAGCAGTCCCCGTGGGCATCTGCACTTGGAATCCCTGACGTGGACATTGTAGGGACAGAGAGCTACTCTCAGGTACAGATCATCTAGAACATAGTTTCTCAACTTTCTTCCCCTTATCTCTCCCTCAAGGAGCATTTTTAGACATTTTTTTCCCCTAATCGTTACCCTCCTCCCATTAATTTTTTCTGGTTCTGAAGTAACTGCAGTATACTAATTTCCTCTAGACTTCAGAATGTGATTTAACAAGAACATCAAGGAGCACATTAAAAAAAAAGGAAACCTCGTAACAGCATCATGTCCCTGTAATGGCTGCCACTTACCTCACATATAAAAGGAGCATAGTAACAGTGAAGCCACGTGAAGAAGCCAAAAGTGGAGATAAAAGGGAACACCACACAAAGAGAAATTAATTCAAGACAGAAAAAGAAGGAAGAAGTTAGATACCGTATGTGGGGCGGTGATAAGTGTGACAGAGAAAAATAAAGCAGGAAAGGGGAAAAACAAGAGTCGGAAGAACATGTTTGATATGGAAGCCAGGGAAAGGCTCAGTTAGGTGATGTTTATATAAAGACTTTCAGGAAGAGAGGCCATGGTTTAAGTGATAGGGAAGGTCTGGGAATCAGGAAGGAGCAGTCCCCAGACTGGAGAACTGAATCGGAAGGCAGCCTGGCTCACCTGCGGTCTAACGGCCGGTGCGCTGTCGGTGCTCTTCTTTCGGTGTTCTCTGGTGTTCCTCTTTTCTGCAAGGACAGGGTCCTGAGCAGGGAAAACTAGAAGGGAGAAAGCAGTGACCATGAAACTGAGTCCAGTCTGGCAGCGCCCACAGACACAGAGTAGCCTGCCACCCGCACACCACCCCATCCTGCCATGGAGAGAGCAACAGTTCTGGACTTCCTATGACAAGAGAAAGACCACAGAAATCATTTCTCAGTTGAGTACAGCAAGTCCCAGGAAGGAGCCCAGCTCTGAACCCTCCGATGCTTCCCAGTACCTTCCAAACAAAGCACAAGCTCCCTCTTCATTTACATCAGTGGCCCTAACCTCCCTGTCCCTCAGTCACCAGGGAACCTCAGTTTCTCAGCTGCAGCATAGAAATGATGATAACACCTACAATTTTATGGGCTCTTGTAAGGAAGAACCATTATACAGGTAAAGTACACAGTATGCATTTTTAAAATGATGTCTCTTATTACTAAGCTTTTCCTACTTTTTTTTCACTTATTGATGGAGAAGACAACCACCACCTTCCCTACAGAAACCTGAACCTTGAAAGCCTTCCTTGCCTGCAGTCTCATTTCAAGTACAATGTCGTTTCTCTCTCACATCCTAGAGCTCTTTCCTTTTCCCTGAATTGCAGCTCTATCAGTAGCTCTCCCTTGGCCAAGTTCATAACCTCTGTGCGACAAAACCCTATGTCGGCTGGAGGCAGTGTAACAGCACGGCTAAGAGCACAGATGCTGGAGCCAGTCACACAGGTCTGAATCCTGACTGCCATTACTCACCGTGGGGCCACAGGCACGTTACTCAACTTCTTTGTGCCCCTTTCTCATTTATGGAAGGAGGGTAATACCTACGTGAAGAGCTATTAAGAGAAGTAAATAGATTATTATAAAATACCCAGAATATAATACATTTTAAGTGCCCAACATGTTCACCAACATCTTCCAAAGTCTTATAAGGAATACAGGTGCGTGGAACTGGATTAATCATCATCCTTAATCCATGCTATGTCAGCATTTATTTTAAATTTATTCACTTACATTTTAAAATATACTTAACCCACCCCACTGGCCCACACTCCAGTCTTGTTCCCTTGCCTTTCTCTCCTTGTCTCTCTACATATACCCTAACAATACTTTGGTTTTAGTATCGACTTTATTCAAAGGACTATTAGGACTGAACAGCTTTCTTCTCTCGTTACTGAAATGGCCTCAGTTCCAATCTAGTAACGTGAGTATTCAAGAGACCAAATGTTGGCAGAAGTTAAATAAGTCTCTAGCTCTCGTATTTCCCACATTTTATGCCCTCTTTGTGTGGCAGTGTGTGTTATTTTGTTTTGTGTTGACACTAAAGTTCAGGCTCAGTAAGAAAAATTGGTGGGGGAGAACCTGGAGAGAAGGGGTACTCTCAGAGAAATAATAAATACTGAAAGCAAAAGCCAAACCCAAAATTTCTTTCATCCCACATGAGATTAGGCAGATTAGACTGGATTATAAAATTCATTCTTTCATAACAAATTTTTATTCAGCTCCCTATTACGTGCCTGGCATACAGCAAATGTTCAATAAATGTAGACAGCCAGTTGCTTCCTTGCCCTCTCACCTTTCTCCTCACACGCCTGGATCAAGTTTGCCACCAGGTTTCCTGCTTCCTTGCTGCTCTTGGGCTGTCTCAACCTCACCCATGTCTGAACCTCCTTTGGCAGGGTGTTCAGGAACTGCTCCAGCACCAGTTGCTCCATCATCTGCTCCTTGGTGTGGATCTCAGGCTGCAGCCACTGCCAGCACAGCTCCTGGATTTGGCTTAGAGCTTGATGAGGCCCGGCCACTGACTGGTACTGAAAATGCCTAAATGTTTGACAAGGAACTTTCAGAGCCCCTGGGTTTCTTATGGGGATGTTTTCTAGAGTCTCTTCTTGATCACACAGGTGAAAGAGCTGGGGATTCCTCAAGACCTCCAAAACTTCTGTCATGTGCAGCATCTTTATAGCCTGCCCTTCAAAGGACAGAGATTCTCTAAAAGGCAGGCTGCTTCAGAACACACTGTTGTGGAAGATGGTGGGCAGGGTTGTCTCAGATGAGGAAAGGACCTGCAGAAATTACAGAAAAATTCACAAAGGGCTTGCACAGTCAGGACTGCCCAGCAGAGGCTATTTGAAGCAAAGGAAGTTAGCTCACTTCAGACAAAAGCCTAAATGAACACTCACAAAGATTTGTACATCTACAGACAGGATGCTTCCTCAGTCACATTCCCAGGTCTGGAAGACCCACAGACACAGGCTGGAAATATTTCAGAGATGGCAATGAAGGAAAAAAGAGACTTGAACCCCAAACCACAACAAACTGAACTAACTGATGAGCCACAGAAGAATTTCATTTCAAAAAAAAAAGAGTTGATACAGAATGAGGAAAGAGCCTGACAATACATATATCCTACAAAGGACAGGATTCATATGCAAAATACATTTAAAAATCATACAAATCAGTAAGAAAAAGGCAGACAAAAGAAGGGCAAAAAGGTTAAAAGATTTGAGCAGGTACTGCCTAAAAGAAGACAGATAAGTAGTGAGAAAATATGTGAAACACGGCTCAACTTCGTTAGTTATCAGAGAAGTATGAATTAAAACCACAATGAGATATCACTACACACCCTCCAGAATGCTCAAAACAAAAAAAATCAGACAATAGGAAGTGTTAGGAGACGGAGCCACAGTACAGCGGTACACTCACACAGCGGAGTTCTAAACAGAACTGAGAACATGGATGTACCCTGCTGTTGAGTAAAAGAAACCAGGCTCAAAAAAGAGAGGCCCACATTATATGAGTCCATTTATTTACAGGTCACAAATAAGCAAGACAAATCTAAGGTGTTACAAGTCAGAACAGTGGTTACAGTTGGGACTGGGATGGCGGGGCAGTGGTAATGACCAGGAGGGGACAACATATGGGATTTCTGGAAAGCTGGAAATGTTCAGTTTTCTTAATCTAGTCGCTCATGACATGGACACTGTGTTCATTTTGTGGAAACAGCTATCTACTTATGGTTTATGCCCTTTTCTGTATGTATATTTCACTAAATTTTTTAGCTGTGTTATAGCTGGAGAATCATCTAGGTTGTAATATTAAGTGGTAAAGTAGGAAACAGGTTAACACTCAAGGATGTCCCATTGCCGACCAGAGACAAAGCTAGACACTAACCGTACAAATGCCCATTCTTTGCCTAATAAATGATTAGCTGTATTGTTTCATCCCCATTCATCAACTGGACAAACTGCGGTTAAACTTCTCTTCTTCAGGCCTCTGAACTTTGGCCCACTCTCAGCCTGGGCCAACATGCAGTCCTTCCTGAGAACTGACTGGGCTCAGGGCAAAAAATTTTCTAGCCATGTTACTCCTCTCTGTAAAAGAAAACACTTTTTGCTTAACTCTTCACACACTTGCATGCCCCCTATGGCTATAGTCCCTCCCCCCCCCCACTCCCATGCAATAATCCTTTCAAATAAAGTCTCCCCTTACTAAAAAAGAAGAAAAGTAGGAAACAAACTTGAATATAGAATATATACTTAACTATATAAAGCACTGGGAAGAAAAAGGAAAGTAAGCCAAAATACTGTACTAGGGGTTATCTAAGGGCAGTGAGATTATAAATTATTTTTACAGGTGAATTTTCACTTCTCCCTCAAAACTACTTTTTAATTTCAAATGTCCTACAGTGAACCTTCTGTGTCCTATGATCAGGAAAATAAAAAATATTTTTCTTCTATAAAAGCTGCATTCACTCTATGAAGCCACAAACAAAACTTGCCACTTCGGAGATACATTTTTTTCTTTTCTCTTCCCGCTGAAAAATATACACCTGTTATTTCTATAACATAATTCAGCAGTCTTGATGTTTGAAGGCATTTTTTTCTTCCATTATTATAAACCGTAAGGTGCTGAGTTATCACTGAAACTAAGTGTTCGTCCACATCTCTGATCTTTTCCTTCTAGGACAGATTCCTAAAAGTGAAATTAGCTAGACAAAAGGTATGAACTTTTTAAAAAGTCCTTACTACAATCTGCGAAATTTCCCTCCCAAAGGCTTCCACCAATTCCTTCTTCCAAACTCAGTATATAAGATTACATACCCATCTTGCCAGTCAATAGGGCCAGCGTCATAGGTGTGTAAGCAATACAGTCACACAGAGCCTCAGAAAGGCCTCAAGTTACTTTAATGCTCTCTTCTGTTGTCTTGAGATTTTCCTTATTTTAAGCAGGGGCCCCACATTTTCATTTTGCACTAGACCCTGCAAATTATGTCACTAGTTCTACCAGCCAAGAACATGATTATTCCTCAAAATGTGTTGTCAGTTAGACAAATGAACAATATATTTTATTATTTAATTTCGCATTTACTTTGATTAAAAATAGAACTTTTTTTTCAGATTTATTGGCCAATTATAAATTGCTCCTATCCTTCACCCTTTTTCCACTAGGATGTTTCTATTGCTAATCGGTAAAGTCTATATAAATAAAGGATATTCACTCTTTACCCAATTTGCTTAAAAAAAATTCCAGCCATGCAACACCTTCTCTTTAGTCTTTGTAGAATTTTAATATTTCAGATTCCAATTTATCACTATCCATTCCGAGGTCAGTTAAATATTCAATAATATCTTCTTATTGCTTTATTTAAACATTTTAATTCTTTAGCTGGAATCTAGTCTGGGATAAGGTGTGAGGAGAGTATAATCTTTTCTAAAAACCTTCCCACCTACCACCAATTATTAAATTTGCTTTTGTTTCCTTCTTAGTATGTATGATGCCCCTCTGAACTGAATTTTTAGGTCTATAGCCTCTAGGGGAGAATCCTGAGAAAGAAGAACTGGAAATGAACATGAAATCCTGCCAGCTTGCCTCCCGAGACTAGCCAGGTCCAAAGCTAGAGCAGAGAGTCACAATTTCTCCTCCTGGCCCAGAGAGAGAAAGTAAGACCTTGAACAGTCAAGGCCCTCGAGGCCACAGGGACTGGAAAGAAGCTCATGACTCTGCCTCTTCAAATGCACCCTCAGCATCTCTCCCTTTCTCTTTCTTACAAAAATTCTTTTTTAAACACCTTTATTGTGGTATGGTTCCTATACAGTAAACCACACATATTTCAGATGTACAATTTGATGAATTTTGATAGATGTCTACACCCATGAAACCACCACCACAATCAAGATAGCTAACATTTCCATCACTCCCCAAGAGGTGCAATTTTCGAACTCTCAGTTTTTCCCTTTCCACCCTCTGTAGCCCCCAGTAACCATAAGTTTGTTCTTTATGTCTGTAAGTCTGTTTCTGTTTCTCTCTGTTTACATAAGTTCTTAATCCTGCTTCCCTTAAACTTTTATCTTTTGGATCTCAGCCTTATTTTAATCCTACATCCCTTATCAACCAAATTTTATCCATTTACCTCAGTAGTTCTTGGCACTTTTTTTTCTTCCTAACATTTTTTACTTAACCTTTATTTTTTAACTTTTGATACCACTAAAACCATCTAGGCAGAAGGCTCTCTAATGTCAACCAATTGTTTAATGACTTTTTCAGTGCTTTTCAATGCTCATTGGTCTACTCAGGTTTTCTACTTCTTGAATCCAATTTTTAAAAAATACTTTTTCCAGAAAAATGATCCATATGCTTGAAGTTGAAATATATTAACACATGATTAAGAACATTAATCTCTTAAGTATACAACTATATCCTTTCTAATCAATGTTGCTGCTTTATTACTAGTTTGTCTTTTTGTTAATTATTTCCATTATTGTTTCATTATTACCACTTTCTCCACTCTCATCCCAGGTACCAGCTGCTAGTTCTAATGCTATTTTTACTTTCTCATATATTAGTTTCACTTATTTTTATTATTTCCTTATTCTTTATTTCTTTAGATTTTTATCAGTTTGTTTGTTTCTCTGTGGGGCTTTGTGAATCTCCTAAAACAAATGCCTAATTTATTTCATTCTACCTTGACTATCGAAAGCTGTTAATTTTGGTTATATACCAAAATTTAGGAGGGGCTTCAAGACGGTAAAATAGAAGGATGAGGAGTTTACCTCCTCCTACAAATACATCAAAAATACATGTACCTGTGGAACATTTCTCAAAGAATGCCTACTGAACTCTGGTAGATCTCATGCAAGCAAAACTACAAGAAAAATCTCCATGTAACTGGGTAGGACAAAAAAAAATAGAAAAAGAAAGAGTTGGGACAGGATCCGCGCCCATGGGATGGAGCAGTGAAAGAGGAAAAGTTCCCTTACTCTGGGGAGCCCCTTCACCAGCATGGAGACCAAGGACAGAAGGGAAACTTCAGAGGCTTGGAGGAAAGTGTAGCAGCCACTCTGCAGCTGGCAGAACAGAGAGTAACCAGCACAGAAGATCCATGAAGTCCCCAGCCTGATACGCAAGCCTGCTGGTACACATCAGGGCTGGCTGCTGAAGCTCAGGCTTCAGAGGATAAACCCAGGAAGAGGACTGAGGTTGGCTGCACACAGACAGCCTGAAGGGGCAAGAATGTGGTATGGCTGAAACAGAATGTGTGCAAAGAAGCCTAGGTCCACCATAAAAAGCCTAGTTGTTAGCCTGTGCTTGTGAAGGGAGGGGCGGGACCCCACCACTGCTGTCTCCTCAGCTTGTTCACAGTCCCAGCTTCACTTGTGGGAGCTCTGGGAGTATAGTCATTGGCAGGTTGTGCCCAGGCAGAGGTGGGGCTGGGGTCTGAGACCATTCCACTTCGGAGGAGAGGCTGGGGTCTGAAATGTGTGGTGGGTGCCTTTGGCAGATTTGTGCCATTGGTGACTTTGAGGGCTTGGAGCCTGCAGGACATCCCAGCAGGATGCTGGAGCATGCCTGGGGCAGGTCCAGCATTAATTGCAGTAGCACGCACTGAGGAAGAGCCAGGATCTGGGCTAACCCTGGGTGACAGGTGACACCAAAGAGTGCACTTCCTGGTGGACATCTCCTGCAGAAGGATACTCAGTGACTCTTCTCCCAGGAGAAGTGCTCCAGTCCAATCTACTTCACATAGTACCTTACAAACAGATCTCGAGGCTTCTACTCCAACCCCAGGGGAACAGACCTGGCCCCAGACAGGGCTGTGAAAACCACAGAACAAAGAGTAGGCCCGCTCAACACCTACGCAGGCTCTGGTCACCACAACACCAATTACACCCCCTATCAAGGGGATAACAGCCAGCAAACAAGGAGGAAAGATGTGGCAGACATCTATACTAAAAATGGCCCTCGCAACAAAAATATCAGATGCATGCAGGCTACACAGGCAGGCTCCTTCATAAAAACAGCCCTCCTTTTCAATCTTCTGGTGTGCAGAAGCTTGTAAGTTTAATTAGGTCCCATTTGTTTATTCTTGCTTTTATTTCTATTTTGAACTCAAGATCTGGTAGATCAGAGAGGTTTATTTCATTGTTTTTTAAGGGAATTTTATCTTGTTCTTTTAACTGGGAGTGGTTCCTCTGCTTATTCATTTACTTACATTTTTCTGACTCTATGAATTTAACTGTTCTGTAATGTGGTCTTGGAGGGCTGGGTGATGATGGCTTCATAGAATGAGTTTGGGAGATACCAAAATCAGGCAAAGACACCACACAGATACAAAAAGAAACAAAGCTAATACAAAGGAAAATTATCAAACAATAAAAAGAAAAACAAAAAAGAAAACAAAGGAACAAAGAAGAAACACCAAATCAACTGGAAAACAAAGTTCAAAATAACAATAAACACATATCTATCAATAATTACAGTAAAGGTCAATGGACTAAATGCTTCAGTCAAAAACACAGAGTGGCAGACTGGATAATACAACTAAAGCCTACAATATGCTGCCTACAAGAGACCCACTTGAGGGTGAAGGACAAACACAGATTCAAGGTGAGAGAATGGAAAAAGATATTTCATGCAACTGGTAATGACCAAGAAAGTGGGAGTAGCAATACTCGTATCAGACAAAATAAGACTTTAAAACAAAGACCATAAAGAAAGACAAAGAACACTCTGATTAAAGGAGTAATACAAGATGAGGGTATTACACTCATTAACACATATATACCCAATATAAAAGCACCTAAATATATGAAACAAATACTAACAGACATAAAGGGAGAAACTGATGGGAACACAACCATAGTAGGAGACTTTAACACCCCATTAACATCACTGCACAGATCTTCCAGACAGAAAATCAACAAGGCAACAGAGATACTAAATGACAATACAACAGTTCAACTTGGTTGATATTTTCAGGACATTACATCCCCACAAAACAGAATATACATTCTTTTCAAGTGTGCATGGAACATTCTCTAGGATAGACCACATATTTGGGCACAGAAGAAGCCTCAACAAATTTAAGAGGATAGAAATTATTTCAAGCATCTTCTCCTACCACAATGGCATGAAACTAAAAATCAATCATAGAAAAACAAAGGAGAAAAAAAATGACAGCATGGAGATTAAACAATATGTTACTAAAAACCAAATGGGTCAAAGATTATCAAAGAAGAAATTAAAAAATACCTTGAGACAAATGACAATGAAAACACAACCACACAAAATCTATGGGATGCAGCAAGCAGTCCTAAGAGGGAAGTCCACAGCAATACAGGCCTTCCTCAAAAACAAGAACAATCTCAAATAAACAACCTAACCTGCCACCTAAAAGAATTAGAAAAAGAACAAACAAAACCTGAAGTCAGCAGAAGGAAAGAAATAATAAAGATAAGGGAGAAAATAAAACAGAAATTTTTAAAATAGAAAAATCAATCAAATCAAGAGCTATTTTTTGAAAGAGTAAACAAAACTGATAAACCTCTTGCCAGGCTCACCAAGATGAAAAGAGGACACAAATAAACGAAACAAGAAAGGAAAATGGAGAAATTACAACCAACACCACAGAAATACAAAAAAACCATAAGAGAATACTATGAACAAATAAACAGAAATAAATTGGACAACTCAGAAGAAATGGACAGGTTTCTAGAAACACACAATCCACCAAAACTGAATCAAGAAGAAATAGGTCATTTGAACAGACCAATCACTAAAAGCGAAATAGAATCAGCAATAAATATCCTCCCTGCAAACAAAAGTCCAGGACCAGGGGGCTTCACTGGGGAATACTATCAAACATACAAAGAACTCGTACTGATCCTTCTCAAACTCTTCCAAAAGACTGAAGAGGAGGGAATACTCCCAAACTCATTCTATGAAGCCATCATTACCCTGATATGAAAACCAGACAAAGAAACTACCAAAAAAGAAAATTACAGGCCAATATCACGGATGAACATAGATGGAAAAATCTTCAACAAAGTATTGTCAGACAGAAACCAACAGCACATAAAAAAGATTATACACTATGATCAAGTCGGGTTCATCTCAGGGACACAAGGATGGTTCAACATATGCAGATCAATCAAAGTGATATATCATATCGAAAAGAAAAAGGACAAAAATCACATGATCATCTCAATAGATGTAGAAAAAACATTTGATAAAATTCAACACCCTTTTATGATAAAAACTCTAACCAAAATGGATATAGAGGAAACATATCTCAACATAATAAAAGCTATTTATGACAAACCTACAGCCAGCATAATACTCAACAGTGAAAAGCTGAAAGCCTTCCCACTAAAATCTGGAACAAGATAAGGATGCCCACTTCTCACCACTTCTACTCAATATAGTATTGGATGTCCTAGTTACAGCAATTAGACAAGAAAAAGAAATAAAATGGATCCAAACTGGAAGAGAAGAGGTAAAATTGTCACTATATGAGGATGACATGATACTATATATAGAAAACCCTAAAGGTTCCACACAAAACTAGATCTGATAAATAAATTCAGCAAGGTAGCAGGATACAAGATTAACATACGGAAATCAGTTGCATTTCTTTACACTTACAATGACACATCAGAAAAGGAAAATAGAGAAACAATCTCTTTTAAAATGCATCCAAAAAAAAAAAAACTTAGGAATAAATCTGACCAAGGAAGTGAAAAATTATACACAGACAACTACAAAACATTGACTAAGGAAAATTAAAGATGACTTAAAGAAATGGAAAGATATCCCACGTTCTTGGATTGGAAGGAACAATATCATTAAAATGGCCATATTCCCCAAGGCAATCTACAGATTTAATGCAATCACTATCAAGTCACCCAGGACATTTTTCACAGAACTAGAACAAATAATCCTAAAATTTTATGGAATCACAAGAGACCCAGTACTGCCAAAGCAGTACTGAAGAAAATCAATGAAGTTGGAAGCATTACCCTCCCAGACTTCATACATTTTTTTTGTAAAAAAAATTACTACAAAGCTACAATAATCAAAATAGTGTGATATTGGCACAAAACAGACATATGGATCAATGGAACAGAACAGAGAGCCCGAAATAAACCCACACACCTAAGGTCTGCTAATCTTTGGCAAGAAGGCAAGAATACACAATGAAGACAGTCTCTTTGGTAAGTGGTGTAGGGAAAGCTGGACAGTTGCATATAAATCAATAAAGTCAGAACACTCCCTCACATAATACAGAAAAATAAAACTCAAAATGACTTAAAAACCCAAAATGGCTTAAACATAAGACAGGACAGCATAAATCTCTTAGAAGAAAACATATGCAAAACATTCTGTGACATAAATCTTAGCAATGTTCTTCTTGGTCAGTCTACCAAGGAAATAGATATAAAAGCAAAAATAAACAAACGGGACCTAATTAAACCTACAAGCTTTTGCACAGCAAAGGAAAACCATAAACAAGATGAAAAGATAACCTACTGGCTGGGTCAAAATATTTGCAAATGATGCAGCTGACAAGGGATTAATTTCCAGAATATACAAATAGTTCATATAACTCATAACAACAACAAAAAAACAACTCAATCAAAAAATGGGCAGAAGACTTAGACTTCTCCAGTGAAGACACACAGATGGCCAACAGGCACATGAAAAGATGCTCAATATTGCTAATTATCAGAGAAATGCAAATCAAAACTACAACGAGGTACACCTCATTAAACAGTTCACAAAGGGTAAGTGCTGGGGAGGGTGTGGAGAAAAGGGAACCCTACTGCAGTGTTGGTGGAAATGTGATTTGGTGCAGCTATTATGGAACACAGTATGGAGTTTCCTTAAAAAACTGAAAAATATGATCCAGAAATCCTACTCCTGGGTTTATATCTGGAGAAAACTCTAATTCAAAAAGATACATGCACCCTAGGGGGAGGGTATATAGCTCAAGTAGAAGAGCACATGCTCAGCATGCACAGGGTCCTGGGTTCAATCCCCAGTCCTGCCTCTAAAAATAAATAAACCTAATTACCTCCCCCCAAAAACCAAAAAGATACATGCACCCCAATGTTCACAGCAGCACTATTTACAATAGTCAAGACATGGAAACAACCTAAATGTCCATCAATAGGTAAGTGGACACTGTGGGGGGGTGTGTTTATACACACACACACACACACACATATATATATAGTACATACAACTGAATACTACTCAGCCATAAAAAAGAAAAAATAATTCACCTGCAGCAACATAAATGGACCTAATTTTTATATTAAGTGAAAGGAGTCAGAGAAAGACAAATATAATACAATATCACTTGGATATGAAATCTTAAAAAAGGGCACATATGAACTTATTTACAGAGACTCACAGACATAGAAAACAAACTTATGGTTAGGGAAAAGGGGTGGGGAAGGATAAATTAGGAGTTCAGGATTTTCAGATACTAACTACAATATATAAGACAAACAACAATGTCGTACTGTATAGCATAGGTAGCTACAGTCAATATTTTATAAGCTATAACAAAAAAGAATATGAAAAAGAATATATATATGTATAACTGAATCACTATTCTTTACACCAGAAACTAACACAATATTGTAAATCAACTATACTTCAATAAAAAAAAATTCTTTTAAACTACAAAATTTAGCGGATGTCACCACTCTCATTTTCGTTATTTTCTTAGTAATTCATAATTTTACTTCTGATTTCTCCATTGACCAAAAATTTCCTTGGAAGAATACATTTTCATTTCCACTTTAAACATCCATTGTTAAATATTTGACATATGGGAAGTAAACAGCTTCTGTATTTTGGAACATTAGCATCTGCACAAAATGATGTGAAAACCTGGGCAATTAGTAGCACCTCTAAATTCAGCTTTTCTCATCGGTGAAAATGAGGTAAAGGAAGACCTCCTTTCCCACGCTACTGTAAGGTTTAAATAAGGCAGGAGCTGAAAACCACAAGGTATACCATCCTGAAGAATTTTTTAATCTACTAAGAAAAATGCTTTATAGTAAGACAAAAACAGACGTACTACGTAATTTAATGCAAAAATATTATGTTTTGAAACAATACAGCAGCAAGTAAATTTCCTCAAAGGAAAAAGGTAGTATTTATACTTTCTACCCAGACAGCCCCTTCTATCTCGCTCCCCCCACCCCGGGGTTCTCCAGAGAAGCATGTTAAAAAAGCAGTGACAAAAGCAGCTAATATGTTAAATACTTTCAAGGAAAATCCTAGGAGTCCCTAAAAAGGTATGAGTTCCTTGATTTCAGATTAGGGAAGAACTTTCAGAGAAGTGGGGATGAGTGTGTCTGGAGAGGGGTGTGGGGACCATGAGATCCGGGCGGGCAGAGACTGTGGTGGGAGGAGGAAGTAGGGACTGGAAGGAAGCAAACAGAATAGAGGTGCCGAGGAAAGAGAAAGGGAGCGAAGCAAGGCAGGGCACAGGAGGAGTGGGGCAAGCTGAAAAGGAAGAGCAGAAGAGGGGCCAGGCTGGGAAAGGAGAGGTGGGCCTGAAGGAGAGGGAGGGATCCCGGCCAGCACTGAGGGCAAGGATGCAAGGAGGAGTAGGGCAGAACTGAGGGGGAGGAGGAGTGGGGCAGAGGGCAGGTCAAGAAACACAGAGCAAGAGCAGGTAGACGAGGAGGAGCACGGAGGAAGAAAAGGGAGGGGCCCGGGGCCAAAGCAGAGGCGAGGGGCGCAAGGAGCGGCGCTGAGGCACAGAAGTGGGGACAGCCCTGAGGCGGAGGGAAGAAGGTAAGGCGCTGGAAAGGAGACGCGGCGCCAGAGCACGGGGGGCTGAAACAGAGGAGGCGTGGGACTGAGGCAGAGGGGAGCAGAGTAAGGAGCTGAGGCAGGTACAGGGAGCGGGGCCAGGAGAGAGGCCGGACGGGGCAGCGCGGAGGGACAAAGGCGGGGCCCAGGGCCTTGAGGGAAGGGGGTCTGGCGGAGGAGGGGCGGGGGAGGGCTCGAGGGGAGGCCAGGGTCTGGCGGGGAAGGCGGCGTCCCGGGAGGGAGGGGGGCATGGGGAGAAGGGCGGGGGGCCCTGGAGGGGAGGGCCGGGGGTCTTCGGGGTGGCCCGTCCAGAGGCCTTCGGGCGAGGAGGCACAGGCAGGAGGCCCGGGCGTGAGGGGCACGGTGGCCGCCGCGTCCTCCTCAGGGCCGAACGCCCGCGCGGCCCAGTCCCCCCACGGCCCTCGCCCGGCGCCTC